ACCCATAGGCATCGACTCTTCCAAGCTAATGACTTTCTTGCCCTTGGGAAACCTCACAACCCATATGAAGTTGACCATGCTCTTCTCTAGCCCTAGGGCAATCTCGTGAGTGTCTTCCTTTGAAAGGAAATATTCGCTGCCAAAGGACACAAAAACGGTTGATCCATTTCCTTTACCATTCAAGAAAGTAACGAAGGGGTCGCTTTCATGAATGACCCCACCGCCGTCTTGAACTAAGGGACCCACAGGGATCACTCTCTTCTCAGTCAACTCAGACAAATACCCAAAGTATTTGTCCTCAGCCTCCTTGAAACCCTTGACCAAAACAATATCCGTTGACCGGTCAAAACAAGCCCTAACACACGCCTTATCTTTTTTCTCGTGTTCCTCCTCTGATGGGGAAGGCTTTTGGGCATCCTTCATCTCATTCACAAGCTCATACCACCTATAATATATGGATTTGAAGGGGAACGGCGTGCCGGGCCTTTTGTCCATGTGGACCACGTGGGAGAACATGGTGGCGCTGCTGGTGACAAAGAGAACCGCCGGGATGTCCAGCACCGCGGCGGAGGCAGCCGCCCAAGGCTGGAGCAAGTCGTAGACGAGCAAGTCCGGGCGGGTGGACTCCAAAATGGTGAAGAAGTTGGAGGATGACATGTTGAAAGCTTTCTTGAGTGTGGGCATGAGATGGGGAGGGAGGCCGTTGGTGGTGTGGAGCGGCGGAGGGAGGCCCGGGAGGCTCGGGAGGCGGAGCTCAACGAGCCTTATGGATTCCGCTTCTGGTTCCCGGGCAAGTTTGGGTATGATGGAGGAGAAATTGGCAGATGTGGAGCATAAGATTATGTTAAACCCTCTCCTTATGAGTTTTTTAGATAGCTCCATGAATGGAGAAATGTGGCCATGTCCCAACCATGGGAACATTAAAATGCAAGGTTTTTTATCATCATCTTTCTTCCACAAGTTCATTTGCTCGGTTAAAACAAATGCTTATGATTGCATATACCCACATGGCGATATGGGAGAATAGTTCTATTTTATAGAGTTACAACGTACATTTAGTATATGGTAAGTGTATAGTTTAAAATTTTACATGTTGTATATATGTGGAAATAAATGAAAATCGAAGATTGTGTATTTAATTTTATCATCTCAAATTAATGAAATACGATTGTGTTTGAACCTTTAATTTTAAAACTTATTTTCGAAGGATCGAATCAATTTTGGGCTTTCATATTAAAAAGAATTGTGGAGAAGTTTACAAGCTTGGTAATTGAGTGTTTGATAAGATGTAAACTAAACTTTGCATACAACTTTGTAGAAATATAAAGAGTTTAGGTTTGATCATTACTTAAGGTAAATACAGGACACCTTTTTACAATATGTAATTTATGTTGGTTTTCTCTTTAGTCTATCAATAATGATAACAATTTCTCGTTTCACAAGGAGATGACCTCGATTATACGTACATTTCCTCTCATTCTTTTGTCAGATTATTCAAAAGGTATTTAATTTTATTTTGTTAGAGATTGTTTAGTACATATTCTAAAAATGTGTATAATTAATTTTACATTGTCTTGATTCTAATATTAGCCAACCTCAAAGAATTATTGTAAAAGATAAATTTAAAAGTTTCTAAAAGGTTTATGCAACCAACAATAAAATGTTTTTTGAAAATGAGTCTTCTAAAGTTAGAGTTGGAATAAAAAAAAATAGTGTATATTATAGTGATAAAAACAAAAAAAAAATGAATTTCCAGGGACTAAAATGGTATTCAGGCCTTTACAATTTTTCTAATTGTACCGTGTAATATAATTACCGGATTATAAAATATTTTACATGTTTTTATAAAGCACTTCAACTACTTTTCGATTGATTTTAGAATAAACTACACCCCTAATCATACAATAATCTTTTAATTTAGGAAGTTTATCAATTTAGGACCCGAAAGATAGATTAATTATCAATTCGGGACCTGAAAGATAAAATGCATCGATATAGGACCCGAATGATGAAAAACTATCAATTTAGGACCTGAATGATTGAAAACTGTTAATCTAGGACCTAAGTTGTCATAATTTTTTTTATTAAAAAGTTTTAAATATTATTTCATTTTATTAAACTAATAAAATTTTGTGAAGAAAAGTTTATCAAAAATTAGTAATGGAATTAATAAAAAATTAAATAAAACAAAACCTATGAAACATTAGGTCCTAAATTGACAGTTTTCCATCTTTCGGGTCCTATACTGATACGTTTCGTCTTTCGGGTTCTGAATTGATAATTATTCTAGAGAGAAATTCCCCAAATAGGAGCAAAACATAGGCAAAATGCAAAAATAGGACTATCATGTTTTGAATAGGAGTAACTTTAGTGTTTGGACAAGTATACCCCTACCCAAGCCCTAAGCCCCAACAACTTTTGATTAAATGTTTAATTCATAATAAATTCGAAAAAAAATCAAAAAATCGTAGAAAAATAATTAAAAAATTTATAAAATATTAATAAAATAAAAATTTAAAAAAGAATATTTGTTTAACTTTTTTAGTTTTTTTAAAAATTAATAAAAAATAGTAAAACTCCATAAAAAAATTTAAAACAATATGGATGTCTTCCCCACTGCCTGTACTACCTTCCTGCACCACCACCTCCGGGCGGTGAAAAAAAATCCATTTTCCCTAAAAACTGCAATTTTTTCTAAAAATGCCAAAACATGGCATATTTCTCTTTGCGAATGCCAACATTTTCATTATTTTCTGCCATAAATATGGCATTCTTAATGAACTTGGCATTTTTACCCTGGTGACTGGAGGTGGTGGTGCAGAGGCGGCAGAGGAGGCGGTGAATTTTATTTTATTTTTTTGAGTTTTTATTTTTTAAAAAAAATATATATTTTTTATTTTTTGAAAAATAAATAAATAAACAAATTATTATTATCGAATAAGTCATAAATTAACTAGGTTAAGATTAAATAAGTCATATTTTAGAATTAACTAGGTTAGGGATATTAAGGGTACAAAATTAATGTTTACTCCTATTGAAGGAAGTTTTAAGTTATACTCCTATTTGTGAACTTATGTTTATGTTTACTCCTATATTGGGCAATTTCTACATTAATCTATCTTTCGAGTCCTGAATTGATAAAATTCCTTTAATTTACATGTAAAATCTCTAAATTTTACATGCAGATTTAAGGTGCAAATTACCAAAGGAGCCCTCATAAGAAAATTTATCTAATTGTTAAATAAACAAATTTGATTATAGAAATTGTTGCTTAATTCATATAGCAAATGCATATTTTATAAAAGGAAAGCAAAAGCAATAGGTATCGCCTAATTTTTGGGAAGATCAAAACGTAAATCTCTTAAGGATATATATATATATATATATATATATATATATATATATATATATATATATATATATATAGGGGATGATTCAAATAAAAAGTAGTCTTAACGTGCAAAGTGTAAAGTTTGCACTTTTTCATTTTTCGCTTGCACTTTTTCTTGCTTTCGTTGCACTTTTTCGCAGGAGCTCAAAAAAATTGGTTTATTTACAAAACTGCCACCGTCATTTTGGCCGAATTTGGCCAAAATCAAAATGACCAAAAAGTGCAACGCAAACAAGAAAAAGTGCAAGCGAAACATGAAAAAGTAAAAACTTTGCACTTTGCACGGGAAGACCACTATATATATATATATATATATATATATGGATAATACGGAGTATGTGGAGAGAATCGAGGAGAACACATAGGAGAAAATTTTGAACTAAATTAAATTCGTTTATTTCCAAATATAACTGATAGATGGACCATAAGTATAAAACACTAATCGCCCAAAAATGACCATATATTTTATAGATTATTCAATTCTTATCTTTAAACGAACATAGTAGTACCGTATATGCAAACATAAGTTTCATAATTTTCTTTAAACATTACATAGAAGTACAGAACATTATCATGTTTATTACTCCCTCTCTCCGTATCTATTTATTTGTCACACTTTGCTTTTTAGATGCATCAAATTAATTGTTTCATTTCCTTTTTGGGAAAGAATCCCACTCAAAAAACAGTTACAATACCACTACAGTACCGCTACATTACCAAAACCCTCTTACTTTTTATAAAATATACAGTAATTATCTTAAACTCCGTGAAAAGCAATCGGGTCATCTAATTAGTTACGGAGGGAGTATTATTCATTAAAATTTAACATAAATTACATAGTACTTTTAGTATGCTTACTACGGAGTACTAAATCTATTTTTTTGCAGTACGTAAAATGAATGAATTTTATCAAACCATGACCTGAAATATTGATAAATTATTAATCTGGAACACGAAACATGAAATATATCATTATTGGCCCGAATAATTGAAAGTTTGGAACTATCAACGTAGAACCTAAAATCCCATAGGTTTTAATTTATTTATTTTTTTGCACATACATTTTGATTTTGCGCACTAGATTGTATAACAATCAAAATAATTAAGGTTGAAGTTACTCTACTTATTGAATTGACTGAATTTACGGTAGAAGATCATTTTAACAATTTTCTAAATATTTTTTTCTTAATTTCATCAATAAAATATAATTTAAATAATTTTTTTTGTGATTTAGCAGATTCAACCAATCAAACTTCTTAAATAAATTTATAAAGAATTTCATAAATTTGGGTAGATTAAGACGATTGAATCCATTCGAGTGTTACTAAATAGGTTGTGAGTTGGGTTATGTATCTTTTGGAGTGCTAGTAACCTGGTTTTTTCATTAATACATACATCCCAATTCCAATTCATTATACAATCAATTGACTTTGCACTCCATTTTTTCATAATTTTTGGGATAATAAGTGTACACATTAATAATTTCCGAAATGAAATGTTAAATCTAATATGACTCAAATAATTGAGGCGTAAAGTGATGTTTTTTCTAACAAAGAAAAGTATTTTTCCCTTGGGAAAAATGTCATTTTATTTTAAACCTAAAGTCCTAAAAATAAGGAGTACTTTTTGTACTGAAAACTGAAAAGAAAAGAAGAAAATGTGAAAAACAACTCTTACAAAAAAGGATCAAGAAGAAAGGTTCACGAGACCGAGAAGAAGAACTCAAGAACATGACACTAGGACTGATCAATGCGAATCCAGTGGTTCACGCCAAGAAGGAGCGATCCCCCCGCGCCGCAGATCTCCACGCGGAATACGCCGTTGATCCCCTGGAAATTTATGATATCCTCTGGCCGCGGCTTCTGTTATTATGGTTTAGCTGATGACCGATTTGCTTTCTCTCCTGTTTTACATTGACTTTTAGACACTTAACTGCGATTGAATTCCATATGATTAACTGATAATCCTTAACCTGACTGGAATGGACACACTTTTTGAGGGATATTAGAGATCCGGAGCATCCGTATTCTCTAGAGCAGCTCAGCGTCCTCTCTGAGGAGTCAATTACGGTTAATGATAAACTCGGCCGCATTTTGTAAGCCTTCAAACCTCCATTTCTGTATCTTTCACTCTTCCTAGTATACAGCTGTTTTGATTACGGTCTGAACTGAATTTACCTCGCCTGGCTTTTTCTTCTGTCGCGATATTTTGATTTCTGGAATCTTTTGTTTGTCTTCGCATTATGTTCTGCTACCACGGCAAGGATTGGATTTCTCCTCACCTGCAAAGTCAATTAATAGGATATTTTGAAATGTTTGTTTATTGTAATTGTAATTGGTGCAATTGTAATTAGGTTAAATACAAATGCAAAGTATGACCTCGTCCTAATTTTTTATGTAGTGCAGAGTTGCAAGTTTTAAGGCTACATTTGGAATGACTTAACTTAATTGAATGGACTTGAGTTCCTACTTCCGAGTAGAATCCATAGTATTAATGCTTCATACCATTACAATGTTTGTTTGCTTAAGTAATAACAACGTTGTGATCCAATAATCATGAGAGAAAATTCATAAGCAGGAGTAAAACATCACACGGTTTCTTAAACATACGTGTCATTGTTTTATTCTCTCCTATATTATAAAAAAATAATTTATTTTAAATTTTATAGATTTTATAACTTTTTAAGCTTTTATAATTTATTTGTAGTTTTTTTTTTAGTTTTTTGTATTTTTTTAGAATTTGTATAAAATTTAACTGTAAGTAAATTGACCTTTCAATTGGTTATTTAGTTCTTAGTTTTTTTGTTCGTTAAAAATTAGTTTTCAAAACTTTAAATGTTATCTCTATTCTTTATTTTTCCTCAACTATATTTGATTTAGTTAAATGTTTGTAACTTTTTAAACTTTGTTGGAAAATCCCCTTAAAAACCAAATTTGAGAAACGGTACATCTGCTGCATTTTGAGCTTTTAGTTTGGCACTTCATCATGTTTTAAAAGTTCTATGCAGGATAACTTTCACACCAACTATCCAGCATTGCAGTATGGCAACCGTAATTGGTTTGTGCTTGAGAGTGAAACTGAAGAATTATTTTCCTCTGCATTACAAGGTTTTGTTACTGTTTTGATGAACTTCTACCCAAATAAGCTGGCAGTTTCCTATGCTTTAAGTTCTCCATTTTCAGTTTGGTAGGATAGGGCCATTACTCATCAACTCATGAATACTTCTATTTTAACTTTTTGCCCTCAGGTAGATATCCAAGTAGCTCCTGGATCTCATGCAGATGAAGAATCAGGTGAATTTGGATGTATTTTTATAGAATATATCTGTCTAATTTCAGTCATTGTTGTAAACGAATCAAATAATTTTGATTCAGGTCACAATTATTTCAAATATTTGAAATGCAGGATAGATTTTATTCAGAAAGAATAAATATGCCAGTATTAGAAATATTTCAAATACGAATTTTGAATTGAATCAAACCTATTCGAATAAGATAATCGAATTGAATACGAATCAGTTTTACGGATTCTGATATTCAATGAATACGAATAATACAATTCACAAGAAATGCATTCAAATCGAATATCTAGATATTTGATTCAATCCTATGCGTTTACAACCCTCGTGAGGTGACTTCCTAGTTGGGTGCTTGGTGCCCTAGGCCTGTTAGGCCACTCATCCTTTTGCTTACTACCACTCCCCATTTTTTCTGTTTTTAGTCTAATGTTTGCACTCATATTAGCTAATGCTTTTTCTAAAGCTAATGTAAAAGTATTACAATGTGACTCTGCCCTCATTTATGTTTTAAACTACCATGTAACATATATGGATGTAGAGAGATGATGTTCTTTTAGTGTATTATTTAAGAACAGAATTCTCTCTAAATGACAGTGTGTTGCTTAAGAACATATTTTTGTCCCTGAAGTATTAGCATTTGTGATGCAGTAAATAAGCAGCTAAATGATAAGGAAAGGATTGCTGCTGCCTTGGAGAATCCAAACCTTCGCCAACTTGTTGATGAGTGCCTTTACTCAAATGAAATCTGACATTTTTTCTTCACTTCACTGCCATGAATATTTGTAGGTATAGATGGCCATTTTAGGGCCTTGTATACGCATCAATAAACCACAGAGTTTCACACTTCATGCTTGTAAGTTGCAAAATCATATCCAGCTTGTTGAACAAAATTGGCATATTCCCCACATGGATAGGATAATCAGTGCTATTAAATTAGATCCAGTCCACTGGTTTGACCCATTTAGAAGGAAACCAGGCATATGGCTGGATAGTATAATCGTTGCAACAGATTGAATGGCCTTCTACTTGTGATGACCTCATTAACTAAATGAGTTAATTACTCATGTATTTTTTGAAAAAATGCATGTGAAATTTAGGTTGCAAAGCAGGATTATATTGGCAACATTTAAATAGTACCACAAAAATACTACAAATAGGTGTATACATGCATGTATTCTTATCTTAAAATCAAAATAAGTTTCAATGTTGCTCTCCCATCCCTAGAAATGCAGGATAGATTTTACTCTTTCTGAGAAGCATTTTTATGGTTGACTGGCATATAAATGGAAAGGTTGCCCCTCCCCCAAACATATGCTATCACCCTTTTATTGTATCGGGGCTTCGGCATCAGGTATGAAATACTCCTCCGTTCTGAAAAGAAGTTCCCGGTTTGACCTACACACATATTTATTTATGTAGGATTAAGTTTTATTTTGACTTTTCAAGTGAAATTTACGTCAAATTAAGCAAAAAGTAGATAAAAAAGTGAGGGTAGTTGTGATCGTTGAGGGTTATTCCTTCAACTCCAAAGGCCCAACACCTTCCTTTGGGTTTCGTAGGACTTGTAGTGGACTAATGGTATTAAATGGCACAAGCAAAATGGTAAAAGAAGAGAAATACAATAAGTGAGCCTAGTTCTTATTAAATGACTTATGAACAATTACAACACAGCCTACTGGATCTGAGCCGATCGTCTAATATGAGCTGAGCGTACAAGGGAATAATTGCTATCGGTAGTGAATACAAGTTGTCAACCCCTAACAGCCTAACTATGAAATAAATGCCGTTATATACCCGCACAGGTAGCTCAGTTGGTCGAGTGGTGGGAGATTTGGAACAATGGACCAAGGTTCGAATCCCCGCAGCGACCGGGTGGATGTCACAGAACCTGAAATAAGGTTGGGTCTCTGGTGCGCACGGGTGTATGGACCTACTGTCATTCTGCTGACTGAGTCACCGTGACTAACCTCCCCACCATCCTGTCGGGTCGAGGTGGGGGCTCCTGGGGTGGGAGATTCCACCTTTTTATGGAACAATAAATGTTGCTATATATACTACCAAGGGGTAGGTGGTAGTGGTGACGTGGAGGCTTGTGAGTCATAGCTTCCCAACCATCAAAATCTGGTGCATTAAATGCGGTTCTCGTCAATATCTTGATTTCCCGCGAATTGTCCAGGACGGTCGTCTCCAGATCCCCTAGTTCTAGACTCAAACAAGCACAAGGCCTAGGGTGCCGCATGGGCCCAGCTGAGCGTCCCAGTCCGTATTACATATAAAGTAGAGTTAATTAAAACAAAAAAAAGTAGAGTTAATTATCAAATTAGGACTAAAAGTTGGTCACTTTTCACAAATATGATCAAAAAATAAACTATGTTTTGATGAGACTATTTATGTGTGTTTTGGACAAATATACCCTTGTTGCTATTAAAATGTTTTAATTCATAATAAAATAAAAAAAAATCATAAAAATTCGTAAAAAATACTAAAAAATTAATAAAATATTTTAATAAATAATTAAATAAATAAAAAAATAAATAATATTTAAAAAAAAAATTAAAAAAAATTACCGCAAAAAATAAATACAAAATCACTGCCGCCTCTACCGCCCCGGCACCACCACCTCCAGCCAGCAGAAAAAAAATGCTAAATCCCTTACGAATTTCATTTTTATGGCAAAATCAATAAAATTTTTGACATTCGCAAAGAGTAATATGCCATTTTTTGGCCTTTTCAGAAAAAATGGCAGTTTTTAGAAAAAATGACATTTTTTACACCGGTCAGAGGTGATGGTGCAGGGAGGTAGTACAAGCAGTAGGAAAGACATCTAATTTAAAAACTTTAAAAACTTTAAGAATGTCATATTTATGGCAGATTCAGTGGAAATTTTGACATTCTCAAAGAATAGTATGCCATTTTTTTGGAATTTTCAGAAAATATGGCATTTTTACCCCAACCGGAGATGGTGGTGCAGGGAGGTGACACAAATACTGTAATGTGAGAAGAAATATATCCTGAGTTATATCTTCATATAATAATCTCTATATAATTGCAAGTATATTCGTAAAAATGCAAGTATATCCGCTTCCATTTTATCATTCATGTCACCTTGTGTTTAGTTGTTTTAAAAGTAATGAGGAATAAAAACAAATGAGGGATATATTTATTATTCATAAAGAAGACACAATAATGCTGGTTTTGGTTTAAAAAACAGGCAAGTTACTTTTGACAAATCAAAGGTGATTTGGGAGATAAAAATCAACACAGGATGCCAATTTGGTTGATTCCAAACCTAATGTGATGAAACATTACTGCGTTGACTCAAGACACATCTAGTGAGGAAGAAATTTTGATTTTATAATTATTATCGTTATTTCTTATTGCAGTCTTGCAATGACTATTTCTCCTCCTAATAAAAGAATGGAAGATCCAATAAAGTTTACTTGATAATGACGTGATAAACGAAATTAATCATGTTTTTTTCTAGGAAAAACAATGTTTTTGTAATTTTGTTATTGCCACGTCGCCCCGTCTTTATTTGTACGCAATCTAAACCATCTAGTTCATAACCAGATTGATCTGCAACGACCAAAATGCTAACATCAAATTAAAAGTAATCATTTAGTAATACGGTAATACCTAATAAATTAATAATAATAATAATATTAATAATAAACAATAGTGAACTAAAAATAAACCGCATTTTCAATCCAACTTTTATAATTTGTTTCCTATAACCAAAACCATTATTAATTATGCATCTATAGCTCAAAAGAATTGTTCAGAATGCGGTATAGCCTCATTCGGAAGAAAAATAAAGTACGGAGTATAAATATCAATGACTTCGAAATGGGGCGACTAACATTTCAAAAAATAAGAGTATTATATTCCTCTAAATAGGAGGAGATATTGGCGTCCTAAAATCATAATGTATTGCATATTTTGACATTATTAGATTGACATATTGACATAATGGACATTAATATTGGATTATTGATAGTTTTCTGTAATGAAAATTGATAAGCAAATTCGGGGTATTTGGAATTTATTCTAGTTTTGCTTCTTTTTTAAAAACAGAAGTGGAATCCGTATCAGTTTTCAGAAGTTGGCAGGTCACCCCGCTTCCAAAAACTAGTTTGTAGAACCATTTTGGAACACTTAAAAGTACTTCTATACTTTCATCCAAACATGGTCGTTTTTAGTGGTTAATTAGGTTATCCAGAACAGGAGGCCCGGATTTTTGGGGCCCCAGATTTATGGGGGCCCAGATTTATGGGCACCCATTTTTTTAAAAATTTATTTGTATTATATAGTAATATTATATATTAAAGAGAAAAGTGTCAAATAAGGCCTTCTACTATTATGAAATAGTCACATAAGATCATGTACTCAATAAAGTGTCATATAAGTATATCTACTTGTAAAAAGCAATCAAATGAGTCCTAATGACATGTTTAACACCTCGTAATCCCGGTTTCAACGTACTTCTGACCATTTTTTTAGAATACATTATACGACATATGTCGAATATTTAACTAAGATTGGTTGAAATACAAGTCAAAAAAATCGACATATAAGCTAAAATCGGGATTAAGAGGTGTTAAAAAAGCCATTAGGACTCATTTGATTGCTTTATACAAGTAGAAGTATTTATATGAGACTTTATTGAGTACATGACCTTATATTTCCCTATATTAAAATACAGTTAGTAAGAAAGAAAAATATGGATGTGTTTTGATATGAGCGGGATCACTGTTAACTGAACAGTGAAAATACTGTTCATTGAACAGTAACTATTTGTATTGTTAATATGTATATATTTGTATTGTTATTATGCATATATAGATATAGATGTGTGTTCTTAATTATTAAAATAGCACTAAAACTAATAAAACGATATTTACACCTAATTACTAAAACAAGACTGTATACAGGAGTGGACCTATGTCAGGGCAGGGGTGGACTTCAGCCCAACCCATTTGTTTTAGTTAGTATAGGTATATGTTATATTTTGAGCCCACCACAAAATTAATTCTCGGTCTAGCCCTAAATTAAATCCCAGCCCAGCTCTTCAGCCCACAGCCCACATCCCAGCTAGATCCCAGCTTAATTCTCTCGCCTCTCAGCCTGCACAATTAGAGCTGCTATATGCGAATGACAGTATGAAGACCTCCGAGTCTGCGACGAGGATGAAGGCTTAGGAGCTGCGACTCTGCGGACTGCGAGGAAGACCGAAGACCGAAGACGTGAACAAGAGCCCATCAGCCGCGCCGCGCCGCCGCCTACGTCGTCCGCCGGCGTGCGGCTCTGCCTCTGCGCCTCTCTCCAGCAGTCCAGCCGGCTCCAGCCTCCAGGTAAACTCCAATTGCCTTTGCCTACTTGCAGTAATTGAATTTTTAGCATTAATCTATTATGTGTGATTGTGTATTTGTGTATTAATCTATTATTATTTTTAGCATTTTAGAGTTTTAGGGTTAGTGGATCATTATGATTATTAATTGAATTTTTCAGTACATAATTTGATGAAGAGAGTATTATTGTTGTAACTTGAATTATATAATGCTAGTTTGTTTGTTTTTGAAACAATATAATGCTAGTTTGTTGGCAAAAAGAAAGCGTAGACATATGAAGAATTGCCGGTGAAAAATACATGATAGAAGAATAGGTTGTATGTGACAATAAAGAACATGATAATACAATGTGAAATGTTTCCTTAGTCTATTCATTCGATCTACGCAGTCCACAGTCCACACCCGCCCGTCTCCAAAAATGTCTGAAACAACCACAGAGTATTCTACCATCCAGAGTACCGACGGAGTCACCCTCGATGCCCGAATTTTCCGGCCATCCGCCGCCGATCACGACCACAAGGGTGCCGACTATTCAGCGTTGGTAGTGGTGATGGTGCATCCCTACTCAGTGCTAGGTGGCTGCCAGGGACTAATGAAGGGGATGGCCCGCGGTCTGGCGAGTAGAGGACTAACAGCTATCACATTCGACACCCGCGGAGCCGGAAGATCCACCGGCCATGCTTCCCTCACCGGATCCGCCGAGGTCAACGACGTCGTTTCCGTCTGCAAATGGGCCGCCGGTGACCTTTCCGCGAGGCGCATTGTCGTCGTAGGATCCTCCGCCGGAGCTGCAATCGCCGGATTTGCAATTGATAAGGTGGATGAAGTAGTGGGCTACGTCAGCTTAGGGTACCCCTTCGGATTCACAGCTTCGGTTCTGTTTGGAGGGCACCAAAAAGCCGTATTGCAATCCCTAAAGCCGAAGCTGTTTTTGATGGGGACAAAAGATGGGTTTACCAGTGTGGGGCAATTGGAGAAGAAGCTGAAGAAAGCTGCGAGTGAGAGTAACCAAATGCATCTCCTTGAAGGAGTGAGCCATTTTCAGATGGAGGGTCCTGCTTTTGATGCTCAAATGGTTAATTTGATTCTTCAGTTCATTACATCTTTGTAATGCTATTCTTATTCATCATAACATCTCTTTTAATATATAAAATTTGTTATAAAAAAATGTTTCCTTCTTAGTCCCCATGAAGAATTATAAAACAGGAATACAAATATTTTAACTCTGTACAAAAATTATCATAACTTTTGAAATTTACAGTATATATATACCTCATTCTTAGTGATGCTCACAATCTTCACTATCGGATATACAAAATATCAACTTACTCGATCTTGTGGTGACCCTAGACATAGTAATGTATTATCCAATTCATGCAGAAGTTAATTTTGATAGATCTATACTCACTTGGTGCATACATTGTCTCTCATTTTTGCACATCATCATGACAAATTAAACAATGGTTGGGGATCACTTTCATTGAAATTTGAAAGGCATTAGGCTATTAGAGGATGCCAAAGATAACATTGAAATTAAGACTTATTGATCAATAATTTTGTCAAATATAAACTTCTCATCCAAAACACATTTACCCAACTAAGAAATGATGAGGTGGTCCTCTTGACCTCTTAGACAATCCATAAAATTAGTCAATGTTTCTTATTAGCATAACATGTGTAATCTTGCCATCTCGCTGAATTGTTATTTTTGACAAGAATAGAAGGCCTAAGTAAATGGATTTCAATTCTTTATAGCGTAATCATATACTCCGTAGCCGTCCCCATTGAGGCCTATCAACTGATAATTCTGGCCCTAACTGGCCAAGGCGATGCTGACGAGCGTCACAGTACGAAGACGTGCGTCAGAAATCCTTTGTGGGCCGTCGCCTGGTCCCTTTTTTCTTACGGAGTATTGAGCCGATCCTGTATTGGGCCAATTACCCCAGCAATGACTTTTTGCTTAAAAGCGGTTTCTATTTATATAAATGAGAACTTCTTTTTGGGACATCCATAAAAGAAAAGTGAGAATATTTTTTTGGGACGGAGATAGTCTTATGCAAGGATAAACAAAGGCTATTGAATTTAAGGGAAATGGGTACCATTAAAATCAATAATATTAGAGCATCTTGAATGGTTGAGTTGTGTCTGTTATACATGTGGTCCCTTTTTTTGCCTCACAAATTTTTATTATGGCTTATATGCTCAATGCTCTCAACTTAGTTTAATTTTCATTTTTAAATCAGTTTTAAACTAAATTACATCAACTTTTTCGTTTCAAATCCCATGTGAGGTATGTTTCATATACTAACAATCTGCAAGTCTGCAACTTATCTCTAACTCTGGTTTTCTTTTTTGATTACATTTGTAGTCTTCATTTTCATATTAAATTAAAGTGATCATCTTCCACCTATTTCTCTCCTACCCCAACCTAAAAAATCTACTTCCATGGTGGAGGGAGATGGTTGGTAGTGTAAGTGTAACCACAATCATGAATTTCTGTTGAATTTCTGTTTAACACTAAAGTTACACATCAAATGCATTTTACAGACATCATTCCACATTGTAGTTAGCCAGCTTGCAAGTCTGCCAACCCTCACTGCCTCTGGGTTGACGTTACATGAGTGCTTTCTGTTCATATTCAAGTCCCCAGAATGTTATAGTTTTCACATCCTCTTGAGCCATCAATCTAGAGAATTCTTCATGATCATATTTCAATGTTGCTTTCCCCCCAAAATCGCTGGGAAGGTTCTCAGAATCAAAATAGGTTTTCATGAACTCCAAACTATCTTCATCATTTGGATATACAAACTTTATCTTCTGGGTTGTTTTTGGATCCACAAAGTACTTCACTACCTGTTGATATTGATGCAAAATCAGCTGTCAAGAAGATAGCAAATTGGATATCTCAATTCTATCATACTCCAATGATATTTCCCATGGTAGTGGAAACTGGAAATGACCTATAATGATATCAGTTTTAGAATTTATCTCTCATTCTAACTTTCTTTGGTAGAGACTGCGGTAGAAAGGATACTTAACATAAGATGTTCCCACTATTTTATCCACAATTGTAATTGGGTAAACGAGTACTACTTGTAAAAAAGAAAGCAACTTGTACAGCATCTATCTCAAAACGGACCTTTATAGTTAATGATATGTGCAACTTTTTATTTTTATTTTTATAAGTTACAACTGTCACAAGTCATAAATCAATTTCTTGCCTACTTTTAAAACCAAGTTAGTCGAATTGTTGTAATTAGAGAAAATTGCAGATCTAGTCCCATAACTTATGCATACACTTAATATTAGCCATGAAATTTTACTCATTTACAGATCAGACCGTGTAATTAATAAGTGTGGTCGTATTAAGGGTTTTCCCATTGAATATACTATTCTAGGTGAAAAGTTTCTTGCCGCCGGCATGAAATTTTACTCACTTACAGATCATACCATGAAATAATTAAATGTGGTCATATTAAGGGCTTTTCCATTGAATATACTATTCTAGGTGAAAAGTTTCATGGCGGCGGCAGATACTCCAATCTGGGGTAATGCTGGAATGTGTGATTTGGAAGAAAAAGACATCTTAGGATATAAGTAATCACCTTCCAGAATGCCTCAAAAAGTCTTGGTGGGCTATACAGAACTATAATCGCAAGCCTTTCTGGGTAGTGGTTCTGCAAAATGTAGATGATCTCTCGTGCTAATTTCATGGGAGTGGACTTGCTCATTGACCAACCATAGAAATCAATCAGCCAAGACATTTGTTCTTGTCCCTCTGCCAGGTTGACGGTGGCATTTTCCATGAGGAAGACCAAATGTCGAATGCAACCTTCTGCTGATGACGAGTTCTGTTGCCTCCCAAACACATCATAAAAAATTAGAAGAAAAAAATGAGGATGCCACCAGCGGTGGACGCATGAATTCTCGCTAGAAGGGACGGCAGTGTAAAAATTTACATACAAATGCATGCATATTAAAATTTCTAGAAAAAAAAATTGGGGGTGGGGGCATTAGCCCCCTTTGGGTCTGCCGCTGGATGACAGTATGACACCCCATTTCCGAGAGCTCCTAAGTACCAGTCGGACAGTTAATTGGGACATTGGGAGAATGTAAATTGGATTTTAATCACATATTTACCCCTGTTCCCTCGTACCCATGTGCTTGCATATGACCTATGCATTTTTACATAGTAACCTCTCGTCGTAGTTGTCTGGATTTGAATCCCAGACTTACGCCCCATTGTCAACATTTTGAAACATTACAAAATTGTATGGGTTGTTGAGTTGAATACTATTTGACAATCACACCATACTATTCGGTGGCTTTACATTTAAATTTAAATAAATCAAATCATTATTCTGTTCACTTAAAACTAAATTTGTATTTTCTAAAAATATACTACGTATTTGTTGCCACCAATTTTGGCAGATGTCTACTTATAGCAAATTTATTACCTGTTTCCCGGGCCTCATAATTAGTACTGGCCTCCCCAACCGGTCTTGGAAATTGGCTTTAAATGCCTTTCCAGTTTCTCCTTCTTGTGCCACTTCAATCTGATCATAGCATTTAAATTTTGAACTAGATAGTCATTTTGTGGAATAATAATTGTGAATGGTGTAAAATAAAATTTATCCTTTTGTACATAATAGTAATATGTGTTTAGACAAGTAATGTTTGTGCCTAGATTTAACAATCATTAATGTTCATGTCAAAGTGCATAGATGAGAACACAAACCAATGCGTATGCCCACATTTCACATACCACCTCTATTGAATCATGATTTTGATTAGTATACTATTATGAGATTATGAAAGTTATAAATTTATACTTTATGAAAATACTTTTAACAAAGAACATTTTTATATCATTTTTATATTATAAATAATTTTCAATAGAAAAATATATTTGGTCAAGTTTTTTAAAATGACAAAGTTTTTTGAGACAGATGTAGTATTATTGAGATAGATTTTTCTACACAATAGTTGTCCATAAGTGCAAATGAATGTTCACATATACTAGTAATAGTTATTTGTGGGACCAAATTTAGTTGTTTTTGAATTCATTTTCTGACAAGATGATAGTTATATGTAGGCATGTGAATCAATATTGTTCATAGACAATAGTTATTTGTGTGATCAATTTGTAATTTTTTCAAATAAATTCCGTCACACAGACACATGTTGTTTGTGATGAGACAATTAGAATCATATTCAACATGTAAAAAATGTAAGCTTTTGTGTACCAAAGGAATAATTAAGGGAAATTGCCCTAAAGATGTAAATAAGTTTTGGAATTTCAAAATAAGACTGCTATGTTTTAATAAGAGTAGTTACTGCCATGATTGAAAAACACTGTCATTAATGATTGAATATTGACATGTTAATTTCTCGTACTGCAACTATTTTGGCAACAATGATTTCAAGATATCATCACATACCGTCATATTACTCCTATTTCGAGAAAAAAATATAGCAATCCTATTTACAACTCTAAAACCTATGTACTCATATTTAGAAGAAGAATTAAAAGATGTTATATGTATTTGAATTACTCTTTGTGAATTTGGTCCATAATTCACTCTAAGGCTCCGTTTGAATCGTTTGATCGAGGGCTTTTTTTCTTCTAATCTAGTATGTTTTGAACATGCCGTTTGATCTAGTTTAGTAGAGTAATACTTTATCCATTCTTTTATTAGTTAGCTAACTTTGAATTTTGAAGTCAATGATGTCAACCTGTACTTCTTATACACGAAATATTTAGGGAAATTGTCCAAAATAGGTGCAAATGAAATTTGGAATTCCAAAATAAGACTGATATGTTTTTCTTCTCGAAATAAGAGTTGTTATTGTCATGTATGAAAAATACTGTCATTAATTATAATAAATATTGTCATGTTAAATGCACTGTACTGTAACTATTTGGCAGTCACGCCTACAAGATGAAAATAAATACTGCCATGTTAATCTCATTTCGGGAATAAAAACGTAGTAGTCATATTTGGAATTTCAAACTCCATTTACTCCTATTTTGAGATATCTCCCAAATATTTACATTTTGAAAATGATATGAAAATATTTTTTATTACAAAATACTATCATAAGAGTATAAAATTTATAAGTTTTGCGTAAATATACTGATGGATAGTCTACCCGGGGGTATATATCCGAAGGGTTATTACCGGGAATAATCTAGAGAGAAGTCAGAGCAAGTAACTAAATGTAGAGAGAGAGTGTATTCAGAGTGTTATGACTTTTCAGCGTGGTTACAAATGGGGAAATGGGGTGCTATTTATAGTAGCAATAAATGCCGGGCAGGGACACGTGTCAAGCGCCCATTGGCCGAGGGGTCGCCTCAACTGGTTGGCGCTGGCAGCCGCATGTGGCCGCATTTAATGCGGCTGTTGGATGGGACGTCTGTGCAGAGTACGGTGATCTGTACGCATGTGAGGCGGATATCTTGTCGAGTGAGATGCCTTCGGCCAAAGAGCAGTAGCCGAAGGCTCCTCCAACCGAGGGCACCTTGGTGCCGAGGGCTCACAGTACCGAGGGCTACTGTTTTCGCCGTTTTCTCCCAGTTTCTTAGTTTGCTTGAGAAACCCGCTCTGTGATAATTTGGAGCCTTCGGCCAGGGGGCCGAAGGAGCCCCTGTGCGTTGTGCGGACTGCTTGGTACTCTGGGCGCTGTGATTTGGGCCTGTTGGGCCTGTTGGGCCTTTGCTGGAGTAGTAGGAGTCTGTGGGCCGGGGGTTCCCGGGCCATATACTCCATCAGGAGTCCCTCACTCCTTTTGTCGAAAGGTACTTGAGGGAAAAGGAGTAATTTGTGCTTGCCTTCTGATGTTGTCCTGTCGTGATCTCTAAAGTTGGTGAGGAGTTGTTGCTTTTATGTCCCTGCCGAAGGCAGTCCCTCAGTTACCCACATGTCGGGACTTGATGGCTTGCTTTGTTGTTTGTTGGAATTTCACAGATTTTGTAATTTAATGATTTTCCCGAGGGGGTCCTCCAGTCCCCCACTCCTCGAGGCACTTGTAAAGTGGTGAAAAGGAGTAAAGTAGTTACGTTGCTGTTGTGGCCGAAGGCTGACGCTTCTTGTTTCATTTTGGGGGGATGCCTCGTTAAAAACCTCATTAGGAAAAACCCTTTGGGAAAAAATCCTAATGAGGGAAAAAGAGTGCACCGAATTCCCCCAATGATGAATCGAAAATGTCAAACCTTGGTAAAAAATGGAGAATGGCGGGAATGCCGAAGGCTCTCTCTTCTGAGGGCTCCTGCGTTGATTAGCCGAAGGCTTGCTGTTGATGTCCTGGTGGTGCTGAAGGGGAGCCCCTCAATCCAGGGATCGAGGGCCTGCCAGATGAGGGCAGCAGTGGAGTTGTTACCGGGGGGTCCACTGTTTGTTGATGAGTTGGTGATGAAGATACCCGAGGGCTCCCATTACCTGTGTGCCATGGGCCATCCGTCAATGAGGCACTCCCCGGGGGCTACCCGGTTTTGTAGTGCTGAGGGGGGAACCCCGAGGGGTGCCCTGATATGCAGCCCTAGGGATCTGAAGGAGTGATCCCGAAGGCGTGTGTAATGTGCTGTGTGGGGCACAACCCGGGGGCACTTCTGGGTGAGTGCACCCGGAGGCAATCCTTGATGAAGTGGAGTGAAGTAGCAAAACCCGGGGGCTTCCAGAATATTGCCGTTGGAAATATAGCCGTTGGAATATGTAACGACAGGATATAGCCGTTGGGGGGGGGGGGGGGTGGCATACGTGGCGTGTGATGGCTGGCTGTTCGTGGGCGGCGTCACCGGTTGGGTGAAACGGCGGTATGTAATGATGGCGGTCCGTCCGGGGGCCCGGAACCCAGGCCCAAGCCCGGATTCCAGCGCCTATAAATACCCTAAGGCCAGGCATTCCTCTGTGTGCGAAAAACTTGTTAGCGAAGCTCTGCCAATTTTTCTAGAGAGAGAAACAGCAGCCCCCGGTTGAATCCTCTGTTCTTAAGGTCAGTTCTCCAGTTACCCTTCACCTCTTAGCTACCTGTACTGCGCCCCTAGGCTATGAGATAGAACATTTTTAGAAAACACTAGTTGTACGAGCCTTCGAACTAGAGTGCGAATGTCGTCCCAGAGTGATTCTCAAGATATCTCGAGGACGCCCTCGATGGAGGACGAAGGCATCTCTGACGTGGAGTCAAGCAGTGGTCAACCCTCAGATGGTGGTGATGCAGCCCTGGCCCGGGAGGTCCAGAAGGAACTCACTGCGGAGGTTGAAGCCGAGGGCTTCGAGCAGGAGTGCGATGATGAAGACTTAGCCCTCGCCTGGCAGACAGCGGAGGATGAGGCACAGAATGAGAGCTTGAAGGTTACGATTGCTGTTCTCCCCCCTCGGGGTTCCGGGGAGGCCAGTAGCTCGAGGCCGTTGGATCCGATACCTCTGAGGGCGGTTTCCGGTGTGAAGAAGAAGAAGGCCGCTACCAAGAAGAAGGAGAGGGCCGTTGATCAAGGAAAACCCGTAGACATGCCCGAGGGGTACAGTTGGCTGAACACTGAGGCCCTCGAGATCAGGTCGAAGGCCGACAGGGCAGATCTGTACGTGACTCAGCTGCACGTGGGGCCCTCGGCCGAAGTGGTGGAGCCAGGTCCCGACGACGTGTTGTCCAGGGCGCCCGAGGGGTGTATTGCTATTCACGTCCTTTCGGTTTCCATGGGACTTAGGTTCCCCCTGCACCCATTCCTCCGGGAATATTTGCGATTTGTTGGCTTGGTCCCTTGCCAACTCACGCCCAACAGCCACTCCTACATTGCGGGGTTCCTCCAGCTCTGCAAGTCCCGAGGGGTGAAACCCAGCCTGGATCTATTCTTCCAGAGCTTTAATCTGTGCCGGGGGGGGGGGGGGGGGGGGGGCACGAAAATGGCGAGGGGTACGCCAACCTGCAGCAGATTGCCCGCTTCAAACTATTCTCCGATGCTCCTTCTTCCAACAAAGGATGGAGGGAACGTTGGTGCTACGTGAAGTTGGATGAGAGCCCATTCCCGAGGGAGCTACGTGATCGATTCCGAAGGCACGAAAAGATCAGGAGTGCCGCTCTCGAGAAAGACGGCCTAAAGCTGGCCAAGTTCCCGGAGGGGAAAAACAAGAACGTGGCGATCAAAGACTGCACCCTCGAGGAGGATTTATACACCCTCGGGTTCCGGAGGTACCGCTTCATAGGGGAGACCGATGAAAAGTACCCTCCCTTCAACAAGGCCTTCGGAGGGGCCGGAGGTAGGAGCCGAGGGCTTTAGAATTTTGTACTTAGTTTTTTTTTGCTTGGATGTTATCGTCCATTCGCTTAGACCCGTCGGGCTAACCCTTTGTCTCCTTTGTGCAGGTATCCCCGTCTCTATGGTGAACGTAAAGGGTCTTGCTCGTTTGAAGAAACAGGACCCGAAGGGGTCGGAACAGGGCATCCAGAAGCCGCCACTGCCCTCTTTAAGAAAGCCGAGGGCGATGCCGCTGCCGGCAAGAGGAAGGCAGTGACCAAGGGGTCCCCCCGGCTACCAAAAAGCCGAAAAAGGGGGATGTCG